GAGAGAGAGAGAGAGAGAGAGAGAGAGAGAGAGAGAACACAAACAGCCACACCTGTGACAGATCAAAGCCCGTGTTTACCTGCAGGAAGCTGGAGGTCTGGGGGTTCCACTTCTCCTCGGGTCGCCCGTGCCACGTGTTGAGAATGCTTAGACATACCTGGAGAAAACATCAGGTCAAGTTGGAGGTTTTAGTTTTAGTAGAGGTTTTACGGCGCTCACAACTGCATAAGGTCATATGAGCGCCAAGGGGTGGATGTCAACAGAGAAGTCCTTACAGGGAATCAAGCTTACTCTGCGCACCTCTCTAGCTTCAACAGCACAAAGTCTGCTTCGACTATCAAGGCACCCCGAAAATAGCAGGTCACAAGAGTGTGGTACAAAAGAAGTACCGTAGAGGAAACTGATGATAGTAAGGATTAGGAAAGAAAAAGCAGCTGTTTCCTGTTGTAGATCAGGCACAGTTATGAGCAGGACATCGTTAGATCAGCCCATTTACAATTCTACTGTGCACTAGAACGAGAAATGTCCCCCCTTTGGGAATGGCCTAAAGACACTTCAGTCTGTGGCACCGCCCCGAGGAGGTTCAAGTTTGAGGGAAGAGAGGTACATCCATACAACAATAGCAGTCATTTAGTCGGTTGAGTAGAAAGACATCCACACAATAAGTCATATGTGAGGCATCGTGGTGAAATAAAGCTCTTGTCAAAACAATGTCATCGAAGAACCATTTTTCTGCTCGTTGGGAGATTCTTGCTGAACTTTTGTTGTTCTGGCTCAACATCTTTTTTGTCCATTTCAAAACATATTGCAGAGTGAATTTTACTGAAACACGATTAAAGGCACAAAAATAGCAAATTTTCTGTTTTCAAAGACTCAAAGTATGGAAGTTGCCAGATCTTGGCTACCATTTTCTTGTACAATTACCACTGAATCCAGGTGACCCCCACCTTCTTCAATTGCAAATATCTGATTTTCTATTCCAGATGGATACTTTTTCATCACAAGAAAGGCAAAGAAAAAGCTCTAAGATGGTACCAAATACTCAACATGCCCACAAATTTAGGAGCCCCTGATTCCACTGCATCGTGATGTATATATTTAGCTGGTCGAGTAGAGAACAGCACATTGACACAACGGTCATTTCGTTTGTTTCTTTGCTGAGTACAGAGAAGCACATAACACAACAATGCTCCTTTAAACAGGAACAAGTAAGATAAAATAATAATAATAAAAATAGATAGCATTTGTATAGCGCATATCCCCGCTTATCAGCAGGCTCTATGCGCTTTACACAATATCATTACCCCAGCAGACCACAGAACACTCTGAAACATTCGCAGCTTTCCGGGAAGCATACAGTGCAAGCAGCTGATTAAGCGCTCAAACACTAACAAACTGACAAGATCTTTCGCTGTCTATAGCCAGGTACCCATTCCCACCTGGGTGAAGTGAAGAAAATTCGTGTAAAGTGCCTTTCCCAAGGACACAACATCGGGCCCCTGACGGGATTCGAACTCACGACCTTATGGTTGCGAGTCCGAAAGCCTAACCACTAGGCCATCGATGCCACAGAAACAACAGAAGAAAAATAAAGGAGGCACAAGTTCTGCATGTCAAAAAGGTTTCAATTTTTGAGTAAAGAGAATCGAAATGATAACTGACAACGAGTGCCAATAAAAGCAGGACAGAAACAAGAGAGGGACAGAAATAAAGCATGTTCCAAACTGAAATGCTCTTCATTTCCATCGAAACTTCTTCAAACTTTGTCATTCCTAAATAGAAAGAAAGACAGTGAAACAAGTAAATAAGGAACATTCAAGAGACCTACTGACCGTTCTGTCACTGTACAGATGAGGGTTAGGGTGGGGTGAGGGGAGGGGGAGGGGCGAGATTCAAGACACCAACAAACCTTTCTATCATTGCACATTAGGGCGGGGCAGAGATTCAAAAGAGCAAACCTGTCTGTCTTTGTAAAGGTTAGGGCTAGGGGAAATGGGTAAGACCCAGGAGACCTACTAACCTTTCCATCGTTGTAGAGGTTAGGGTTAAAGCGGACCGAGTGGTTTCCTGTGGTCTCCATGTTGATGAAGGGAGGCGTGTTGGGGTAGTCTTGGGGGAAGAACACGTCAAACTCAAAACATCCGTTGGCGTACGGGGTCTCTGACGGGCCGGTGATCAGCACCTGGGGACAGGAAATGGAGGGAAACTGACTCCACCACAGTCACTCACACCCGCGGGGGCGCAGTTTAGTTGTTTTTCTGTTTCTGCAAGAGTTTTACGGCACTTGCAACACAAATAGGTATTCTAAATTTTAAAGTTTTTTTTATAGTAGAGGGTTTTATGGCGCTCGCAACTGCACAAGGTCATATGAGCGCCAAGGGGTGGGTGTCAACAGAGAAGTCTTAACAGGGAATCAGACTTAGACTGCTCACCTTTCTAGCTTCAACAGCACAAGGTTTGCTTCGACTATCAAGGCACCCCGGAAATAGCAGGTCACAAGAGTGTGACAAACATACAAAAGAAGTAGAGGAAAAATAACAATAGTAAGGATCAGGAAAGAAAAAGTAGCAGTTCCCTGTTGTAGATCAGGCACAGTTATGAGCGTGACATGAGTCAGCCCATTTACAATTCTACTATGCTTGAACGAGAAATGTCCCAGTGGCACTGCCCGGGGGGTCACTACAGTCAGTGGCACTGCCCGGGGGGTCACTACAGTCAGTGGCACTGCCCTGGGGGGGGGGCGGGGGACAAATAGGTATTTGCGTGCTGAAGATCAAGATGAAAGGTGTTACAAGAGAGTAACAAAACACAAAAAAGGAGGAGAGATAAGGACAATAGATGTTTGGTAGGAAAGACGTAGCTAACCACACTAGAGCACCCGCCAACCACCTGCTAGTGAGCGTTTAACAGCACTTGCAACACAATTAATAGGTCATATAAGTGCCCAAGATTACATACGTTATTAGAGAGTTTGAGTAAAGAGGAGTACGTCGACACAATAACTGTCATTCAAAGCTAAAAAGTAAGACAGACAGACAGACAGACAGAAGAGACTGATGGAAGAGAAGCACATGGACACAGTAATGGTCAAAATGTAGAGGGTAAGAGTACGACAGACAGACAGACAGACAGACAGACAGACAGACAGACAGACAGACAGACAGACAGACAGACAGACAACACAAAGACAGAAAGACAGATACACTCAAAGACAGACAGACAGACAACACAAAGACAGAAAGACAGACAGACAGACAGACAGACAGACAACATAAAGACAGAAAGACAGATACACTCAAAGACAGACAGACAGACAGACAGACAACACAAAGACAGAAAGACAGATACACTCAAAGACAGACAGACAGAAATCAAACTCAAAGACAGACAGACAGACAGATTCAAAGTCAAACGGACAGACAGGCCGACAGACTCACAGACAGACAGGCCGACAGACCCACCTTCATGACATCCAGCCTGTCTTCGTCACAGCGTACATAGACACTAGAGCTGAAGGCCAGGGGCAGAGAGGTGGATAGAGTGACTGCCTCCTGAGCCAGGCGACGGGTTCGAGCCACGTTATTCACTGTGCCCGCAGCCTTCACGTTGGACTCGTAGTGGTGACTGACCGCGAACTTGAGACTGCGGCCCTCCTCGCGAACCATCTCGTAGGTATCGAACTGCAGCTCCTTCATGACACACATGTACTGCTCCTCTAGCGTCCGGACAGGCTTACCTCCCTCTGCCGCACCCTTCTCACTCGAGCCTTGCTCGTCGCTGCCTGGAGGGGGATTGGGGTACCCAGAAAATGTTTGTTTGAGTAGGGAGAAAGACATTGGGGATACCCAGAAAATGTTTGTTTGAGGAAGACGAGGATCCCCGAAAACGTACGAGTAGAGAGTAGAACATGGGGGGAGGGATGAACCAAGTTTGAGAATTGTTCAATTTAGTTTGAATACAGAAAAGACCATTGATGCAATAACAACAATCCTATTTAATATTGGGGGGAAAAAAAGCAAGCCAGGCAAAGAAATCAAACCTCCAAGTGGCACCCACCAATCACTTCATTCCCGTAACCTCTGGAGTAACCTCTCAATTCCCTATCTATCTGGAGTAACCTCTCAATTCCCTATCTATCTGGAGTAACCTCTCAATTCCCTATCTATCTGGAG